AGTGATATGAAGAGCCACAAGGTCTTCATGGAAAGGAAGTGCAAGCTAGAATTTGATATTCATCTAAGTATTTTTCAATTTAAAAATCTATGGATATATATATTTAAAAAAATTTTTTGGACAGGGTCTCACTTTGTAGTTCTAGCTTGAACTCACTAAGTAGCCCAGGCTGGCCTTGAACTCATGGAACTCCTTCTGCCTCAGCCTCTGCAGTGCTAGTATTACAGGCATGCGCCACCATGCTTGGTCTCAGATAAATAGTTTTTAAAGTAGGAAAAAACTCTTGCAGTATTTTTCTCTGGATCTCTTTCTGAGAAAACTCCTGGAGACCAAACTCCACCAGCAGAAGATGTTTGAGCATTGTACAGCACAGGGTTGGGCTTACTAATAAAAATGAGACAGAGACATGTGGCATTAAGTGTTAAATTAAATGTAGACATAAATCACCCAGCAGAAAGGGAAATCATGCATGAAAGGTGAAACATACTTTATTGTCTGCCTCACCTGTCATCGGAGATCAAGAGGTATCATTTTAGCAATTTAAGCATACTTTTTAGTAAAGATCAATACTGTGAAAGATCATATCATTGATACAAACCAGGTACAGTAGTGGAAGAAATGTATGTGGTCACTACAAAAAAAAAAAGGAAAATAAAATGGATCAGCCAGGCATGCTGGCACACACCTGCAATCCCAGTACTCTGGGAGGCTAATGTAGGAGGACTGCAAGTTTGAGCCCAGCCTGGGTAACTTAGCAAATTAGCAAGACTCTGTTTGAAAATAAAGAGTAAAAAAAAATGGGTTTGGGATGTAGCTCAGTGTGGAAGTCCTGGATTCAATGTCCAGTATTGCAAACACCACCTATAAAAAAGGACTTGAAATTCTAAAAACAAAATAGTATGATTGAACTAATAACAAATGATTGTATAGTCACAGTCATTCTAATGTGATATTACTTACATATGAGTTTAGTCTCTGCAAAATTGTTTGTATGGTAAAAGATTGAAAAGATCTAAATATCTATTAACAGATCTGATTAAATACATTTCTGTACAGAGCATTGGAATATAATACAGGTGTAAAAAGGAATAAAGATGCTCTTACTAAAAGAAAAAGAACATGGGATATATCTTCAAAGGAAAAAGCAGACGTAGACTGTAGAATATGCTACCATTTTTCCTTAGCACAGAGAGTGGGAAAATTTATATGTATATGTTCTTGTATATGATATATAAATAATCTCTGGAAAGATAAACTGGAAAGGGATAGCAGTGGTTACTTAGTGGGATATGAGCTGGACACATAGATAATCAAATGGTAAGAAGATTTCTTTTTAAAATCCTTTAAAAGTGGGTACTGTCTCCTGTGAATGTTATCTGTATAAACATCTAAAAAGAAACTGTGCCATTGGAGCTTAGGAGAAAAACAATGAATTCTCTCTTGGGGAACTGGGGGAGGCATTTAAGGGGCATAACTTGTGAACTGAGACTAGAAGGATGAGGAGTTCAGCAAGTAGACAAGATTGGAAAGGGAATTCTGGGCCCTGGAAATGGGCTCTCCCAAGGCCTGGCAGCAGGGAGAGTGGGCCATGTACACAGACTGGGTGAGTGCCTGAGGGTGACATGGAGGTGGCAGAAGGGGATGGGAAGTGGCTCAAGAGAGGCATTAGAAAGTTGAAGTGTAACTATTGAATACAGTTTGCGCATCACTCTCGGTGCTGTTAGGTGAACCTGAGTTGCTTGTCTGTGTGCTGTTCCATGTGCTCACTATGCAGAAATGACACTCTCCCTCTAGACTTGTGCATCTCCATCCTTACTGTACATTAAAATCACTTGGGGAACATTAAATTAAAATTTCAGAACAATTAATTTAGAATTTCAGATTGTAAGGACATAGCATAAATAGGTTTTTAAAAAGGCCTTTTAGATTATTTTAATAACTCACATTCAATTTTAAGAATATTCCCTTCTCCTTCTTCCTCTCACTTCATTCTCCTCTTCTTTGTTATAATGAAAGGAATAATATGGTGCAGAAAGTGGTTGTGATGTGTGTCTAAAGAAATTGCTGAACTAGAAGCAAGAGATAATAGAAAGTAGTCCATGCAAGTGCTGATAAAGGCATTTAAAAGGGATAGTGACTTGAAGCTAGTGAAAAATTTTGAATGCCTGAAAAATTTAAATGAAGTTCACAGAGTGACTCCTAAGTAAAGGGTGGTGAGACAAAAATACATGAGGTCTCTAGCATGGATGCCTCCGTGTTTGGTAATGCCAGTAATCAAGAGAGATTGCCTGAGGAAGGCTTGGTTCAGGTGGTGAACCAGGTAGGGAGGTGAAATAATTCAGTTTTGGAAGGGTTGCCCCCACAGCACCTACAGATGTAAAGGACATCAGGACACAGAAAAACATACCATTTCAAAACTTATATTTTCCAACTGCATCAGAAAAATTTTCATCATAGAAGGTTGGAGCCCTAATCAGAGCTGGGACTCCAGTTTATGGGTAGGGTACTTGCAAGAGCAAGGTGAACACTCTGTCCTAGAAAATCTGGAGCGAGATAACACCATGGAGTCTGTGGCACAGTAAAGGGACATGGTGTGCCAAAAAGGAGGTGCAAGAAGATGCCTAACTGGCCTCTTTCTTCAAGGGCAGTGATCCTGGCTTAGAGGGCAGGCCTGCACTACTCCTAAACTATCTTCTGTGTATTTCCTTAACATCTGATCATTGTAGTGTCACGATTGCTACATCAAAACAGTAGCTTATCAGGAGCTCCTTTTTTTCAGAGAGAACAGCAGCTCCACTTGTCCCTAGCTGTGTCTTACAGTCCTAGGTACCTCTGGATGCTGGAGCTAAGATACCATCTTAGTTATTAGGGAAACAGGGTCAGTTTCCCTTAGGAGTCTTTTAAACTCAGGCCTGTAGGTCTGAGCTGGACAGAACTGCTGCTGCAGGTCAAGATTCACCGCAGAGCCTGAGCCCAGCAGGTGGGGAGCAGGGGGTCTTGAGAGAGGAGAGAGGAGGGCTATGGAGGCTGAACACAGACAGGGTTTGAAAGAGCAGTGCCCCGAAGCTGCTCACAAGATGTCTGATCTGAATGATCGGGTCTTCAACTAATCATTGGTGTGTCTGGCGCAGCCCAGTCACTGTTAATCCGAATATCATTGTGGTGTATCTAAACAGTGATGGGTGTGGGTGCTGTCTTGATACTTCTTTAAGAAATGAAGAACACTGAATCACTGTAATGTGCCACTTGAAAATCATTTTTACTAAATTTGCCTTAATGATTTTTTCCCTTCAAAGTTTCAGTTTATACCAACGGGCAGGATCACTGAGTTCATTTCCACCTGCTCCCTTTCAGCAAGTAAGGTGAGTAAATTAATGTAGGGTGGAGCCAATTGTATCACATTTCCATGTCAGTGTTATGCATCATCAAGGGCATCAACATGGGTTATGAGGTTCAGAAGTCTCCATTATCTCACTGCCTGGAAGTGATGATTATTTAAAATATCTTAATGTATGTATTTCCAGCATTTTCTATGATATAATGCAGTCTGTGGATTGATACTCACCTATAAATATGTTGTATGTGTATTCCCTACATTGTTTCTCATGTTTGCTAAATGACATACAAGATATTTTAAAAATGTCTGTTATCTAAAATTCAAAATCTAGAGACCATTTTGAATCTTAGAACTTCTTTAAGACAGAATAGTTGTGAAGACTTAAAGCCTCTCAGTCATATCAGTGACACACACAAATGTGTGGGAAACTATTTAAATTTTAATTATTCATATTTATTAACAGGCAGATGATGGATTCATAATCTCTAGCTAACCTTTAGGTAGGTAGATATACATAATATATTTTATTTCTTTAGTGAGTTTCTTAACTATTTACTTTAACTAATAGGTGTCTTTTTGATTTAAGTTTTCTTTATTTGCCTCTTCTGGTGTGATGTCAAAGAATCAGGGACTCATAAACTCAGTAACAAGTTGAATGGGTATAGTCTTAAAGCCAGTTCCCCCTTTTATAGGAATTTGCTTGTGACTACTCTATAATGAATTGCAGAACCAACTGCAGGGTCTACCCTTTTATTTTATTTTATTATCTTTAAAATATTTCAAATTTTTATTAAATATTTTATTCAGTCTGAAGATCACAGTTAAAGTACTTTAGCATGTTATACACATGACTTACATGTGCAATTTTTAGAAATATCAAATAAGGTATGAGATTTTGAAGAAATAAATGATATAAATGTGTATATTGACTTTTACTACACATACATCTAAGAAAGTAATACTCTGTTGTACCATTAAGTGGAAATCATTTATTACATGGCATGTTTACACCAACTCTAAAGAGAACCAAGCCAGTTTCTGAAAGAAAAAAAAAAGAGTGATTCAGTCATGCTGAAACTGTCAACAGACTTAAGACCTGGTGGTCAAATAAAACTATGGTTAATTTATGACATTTGAGTAAGCAATTCAAACCTATAAGAAAAGTTCAAAATCTAGTGTGTGGAATCTCAGGTGTTTTTTGTTTGCTTTTTTTTTTTTTTTTTGACAAATTCCTGAGAGCAAGAGACTTATTTATAGTGAAATGAAAAAAAATGTTGCCAAGCAAGTTACTGAGCTCTAGATGGCAAACCTTTCCCTACCCTCGGTTCTGCTGCTCTTTAGGCAGAGGCACTAATGTGAGGGGACCTGAGCCCATCCCTGGTGGGCCACAAAGAGAATCAGTGATAGTTCATGAAACACGCTTATCTCTGTGATTTAGGCTAGAGCTTGTGAGGTAAGATTTGCACTGCGAGTGGAAGGGTTTAGAGGCATTCAATTAGATCCTTGTTACTCAGTAACCAGTTCTGGCCCAAGTTATCAGGATATCTTTGGAAGGAGGAGTAATGTTCAGGATAACTAGTTGTGTGTATAAAAATCAGTTTCAGGATATGATCAGTTTTGACCACTTTATTTTGACCATTTTATTTATACTAAATTATCACAGAGTCTGACAGTAAAACCAGCAAAGGGATTCTCCTGGAGTGGAAAGCGGTAAAAATCACCTGTAAGTGACTTTCCCTGAGAAACAGGTTATAAATGTGTTTCATAAAGCCCCTAAAATAATAATATAACCTCATGTATTGAGATTCTAGCTACACATAAGCAAACTGGTGTCCACTGAGTATCATGACTCTACCAAAAATGATGGTGGTTTAATGTGAAGGAGAACAGGAGCCAAAAACCTAAGCCCTCCGCATTTCGGGGAGAGGGTTCGTCGACCAGCAGACTTCAGTGCATTGGTGGATTGCAACATGCTTGGGAGTTCCTGAGCATCACTTGTGCTGCACCCTGAAGGCTTCTCCTTCTCCTGGTTATTTTAGTGTCTTAGAGCAGAAAGCAGGCCCACATTTTCTAGTTCTTTTAGCAAATGTGTCCTTAGCAGAGGAAGCAGCAGCCAACAAAGGGCAGAAAGCAGGATATGGTTGAGGTGGGGTTCAGGGAGACAGCCTGGTGTGCACAAGGGAGTCGAAGGCAAGTAAACCTATGTTGGGAGAAAGTCAGGATGCACAGTATGTTTTCAGTTTGGGGTCTTCTTCAGCCTCAAAATCAGATCTCTTGACAGAACCCAGCTCTGCAGCTATTTCCAAATCAAACTCTTAATGAACCATTTTATACATTTGGTAAAAGTGACTTTTTAAACTTTTGACTTTTACTTTTGTTCATAGTACTGGGGATTGAACCCAAAGCCTTGGCACTGAGCTACATCTGCATCCCTATTTTTAATTTTTAATTTTGAGACAGGGTCTCACTAAGTCACTAAGATGCCCAGGGTGGGGGGTCTAACTTTCCATCTCCTTGACTTAGGCTCCCAGAATTCTCAGATTACAGCCATGTACCAACCATGCCTGGCTTGACTTTTAAACTATTAGTAGTAAGAAATATCATCTAAATGATTATCCATTATAAATGACCCAGCTACAAAACAATAAATACATTTTTTTTTATTCTTTAAGGAAAATTCCAAAACTCGAAAAATCAGACCTCCTTCAGGTGATAACTTGAGGCATGAATCGCTTTCATCATTTGAGCTCTCACTTAGCCAAAGAAACCAGAAAAGAAATGAAGACAGTGCAGACTCTGATATAGAGTTCATTTCAGAGACTAAAATTATAAAGAAGTCTACGCAGAAGAAAATGAAACTGCAGGAAAAGAGACCTGCAACAGCTCTGCCAAGAAATGTCAAACCAGCAGAGATATCCCAGGTATTCTCTGATTTTTTCTTATTCACAAAATATATAATAATTCATTTGCACTGGAAATAACATTTGGTAAAGGTTTTGCTTCATTTTTACATTTTTTAAGCACTCTAACTATAGGATATACATTGTAATCTGTGTTTCCTGGACACGGTCCCAATTTTTATTTTTTTGCCCTGTATTTTGGTTAAAACTCTAATTGCTAATATCAGCATGGTGCCTGAAAAACTCAACCCAGTGAAAGTCTCCCAAGGAAGGCCCAGATAGCAAAAGGATTTTAAATCTGTATTTAAGAGAGAAATATTCATATAGGATAAACTTTAGAATTTTGCATTCAGTGCTTTATACAAAAAGTCCTTAACTAAATTATACATAGATTGTTACTCCTGTAGTCAAAGTTCTAGAAAAATGGCACATAATATCAATATACAATCAGTGTTGAGGTTGATTTCAACAAATGGACCATTCCAGAATTGCTTTGTATCCGAATGCATTTTTAAAAGAATTGTAACACATTAATTCTTACAATGTTATCATTATTTAATTCCTTTTTGAGAATGTGCCCTTAGATTCAGTTACTAATACCTATAACTGAGTGGACGTACCCTAGGCCAGGGTCAGTGCCGAATAATTACAAACATTATCTCACCCACTTAACATTTTACATCACTTACAAGCCAAAATTTATTATTTGAATTATCTACCTTATTCATCAAACTTGACATCTAGTGCCTTTTAACAGTTTCCACAAATTAAATTCACTCTTGGGGGATAAATATGGGCCACCATTGAAAATATTGAAATTAATCACCATAGGTTCTCAAAGTAGTATGAAATCATTTGATCCACAAATATCTACTGGGTTTCTGCCCATGGTGTTGTTTGGTGGATGACAAGGAATTATTTTGAACAATAGTTACTTTCTAGAAATTTCTTACATATCCCTTTGTAATATCTTTGGCAAATGTGTAGACTTTTTGAAAATCTGTAGTGAAACTCTTTACCCCTAACAAAGCCTTTTCTTGTTCCATTTTTCAACAGCTCAACCTCTTTAAACATTTGAAATCAATTTCCTTAGAATTTTGAAATTTTTACCTCAACCCCTTCTTCAAACTATATGAGCCAAACTGAATGTGTTTACTATCTACAGATTTTTTTGGCTTGTAAATTATTTTATATTTAAACACATAAGTTCATGTAATTAGCATATATTTATTTAACCCTTGCTGTATTCGAAATACTATGTGGTGGTAATATAAAAATAACTTTATAGTTATATCTGTATCACTTTCTAGTTATATCATTATATCTCTATAACCCTGAATTCTAGAACTCATTAACTGTGCAATTTCAGGATTTGGGATTTGTTGGCTTATTTCGTACGTACACTAGGTACTCTTAAAACATGTAATAGATTGAGAAATTGAGGATGTATAAAAGTGTTAAAGTGCCACATTTTAGACTTTAAATGTAAGGGTTAAATTAGTTATATACATACGTATGTATACACACACATATATATGTAAAGCTACATGAAGTATCTGTGAATATATATATATACATTGTACTGCTTTACATGTCTTATATACATATATGTGCATTTGCACACACCCTCATATATATGATATTATGTGCCACTCAGTATACTGCCTTCAGGTAGTATGCTTCAACTGTGAACCACACCATATACAGTGGTACCTCGGTTCAGGTTGTAACCAAATTGCAACTATATATGTACTATGTTTTCTGGTTAAAACTAGAATTGTGGAATGAATTCTGTTAACAGAATCATAAAATTAAATCCATGAACTGAGGTACCAGAATCATAGAAAGAATTAAGTTCATAAACCGAGGTACCACTTGTTTCATGACCTCATTAAATTTACAATCTACACATAGAGACAATCTAATAATTTCACATAAAAATGCAAGTGCAACTGTGGCAGTTGTTTGTTTTTGAGCTGGAGTCTCATTATGTTGCCCTGTTGGCTTCAAACTCGTGGGCTTAGGCAATCCCCTGACTCCTGAGTAGTTGAGACTACAGGCACGTACCACTGTGGCTGGTTATTTTGGCAGTTTTCATTACAGAATAGTAGAAATGCTTATAATGGGGGATTTGACTATGTCTGCAAGATGGGGACATTTTTCTAGAAAAAAAAGGTCTCTAAGCTTGTAGGATTAACTCAGTAAAAGAAGAACATTTCCAAGGAATGTGAACAGCATTTACTAAAGAGACAAGAATGAACATCAATTATTAAGATAGGCAGTGGCAGGACAGAGAGATTGAAAGAGGCTTGTTGTGAGATATGGAGAGGGCAACCCAAACCATCCAGGTCCTGTAGACACTGAGAAAAGGTTTTGTATCTATCCTAAAAGCAATGGGAACACATTGGCAAGCTTCATGCAGGGGAGTAGTGCAATCACATTTTCCTTTAGCAAAGATTGCTCTCGTTGAGTTTGGAAGAAAGGCTAGTAGAGAGCAGAGTTGTTGAGAAAAAGTCTTCTGATCCCTACTTGGCCACATAAGAATGAATCTTGAGTCTGGGACACTTTCATACCAAGAGATAGAGAACCCGCAAGGACTGTGCTGGGCTTATCTAATTGTATGAGAATATTCTTTTTCAATGTATGCATCTTTGTTCTGCATAAGTGTATGCATCATGTGGTATCTGGTCAACACCACTACTACATTTGTCCTCCTTGGGGAGGAGGGCTCCTTGCACTGTGACAAGAAAGGGATGCACATAGATAGTTTCTGTGTGTTGGTTACTGGGGTACCTGCTGCTGAGGGGGAGTGATGCACCCTTGGAAGCTGATTTTGCTCTCTTTTACTTTAAGTAAAGCAGTGTTGTATCCAGTGCTTGCCAGCATTTTGTTTCCTTTAGTAACTCCAATACCAGGATGTGACAGATGGAGGTGTTTAAGAGTCCTCCCTGGGGATTGATTACATGATATTTTGCTTAGTAGCCATGCTTATCATGCAACAATATGAGCTGAAAAGACAGGGACTATTAAAATGGTCTAATGGAGAGAAGTGTGGCATAGGATGATGGTGGTAGAGGTGTTCACACTGCCCTGTTTTGGTGATAAATTGGGTTTACAGAGTGAAGCAGAGGAATATGGCAAGAATAAGCACAGATTTCTGAGCTCTTTCACTTGGTGGGATGGTGAAAGATTTTATCCATTGAAATAGGGAGTACTAGAAAGTGGTAAATATTGAGAGGAGTGTAAGTTCAGCTTGCATAGTTTGGAATTTGTGAGGCTGAATAAGATAAGAAGCTTCATATATGAATCTGGATTCCAGAGTTGAGGGTTAAATAGGAGATAAATTTGTCTGATTATGAGGGGTTGAAAGGTAAAAAAAGACTAGTCAGAAACCTCAAGGTTGGAGGATAGGTGAGCACAGAGAATTGTGGAAGAATTGCCCTTGTAGTTTGGGGAGAAACCAGGAATTCGTGATATCATTAAAACCAAGAAGGGAAAAAAGTGATGTAAAGAGAGGTGGTTCAAAAGGCCATTCTCTGGAGAGGCTACTCAACCAGCCAAAGGCCACATTCTTTGACTTGGTGACTTAATGGTAATGGGAATGCTCTTAGAACATTGAAGAGGATAAAAACCAGATTGGAACATATTGATTAGGAAAAGCAAGAGGCAATGGAAGCAAGCTGCAACTCTTGGAAACTCTTGGAAAGGTAAGTTAATTTCGCTTCAGAAGACATTCTATATGACTATCTAGAAGTGGGGTGGACAAATCAGGAGACCGTGAAAGTCTTTAAAGCATTGGAAATATTAATCTTGTCAGGTTTTTTTGTTTTGTTTTTTGTTTTTGATACTAGGGATCGAACTCAAGACCTTGCACTTGCAAGGCAGGCAGCACCACCACTGAGCTAAATCCCCGGCCCAATCTTATCAGGTTTTAAACTGCAGTTGAAACAACTTTGTATTACTTGAGGATTATTTACAATAAATTTCTCTGCTCAATAAATGTACTAGGCATTACCACTACCAGATAGAGGAAGTGCAAACATCACTAATTTTAATATTAGCCCAAGTAGTATGGAATTGGGAAGGCATATATGCTCTGAGTAAATCTTATGCTTGAAAAGATTGATAAAAATAGGCCTAGAATTAGCTAATATTTTACTGTTTCTGTACCACAGTTTAGTTATGTTAATACAAGTAAGTAATGAACTTACTGTTCTTCCCAGAGAATTGTTTTTTAATCACACTTTTGCTTTTCTCAGAAGGTCCCAATTTATCTGAAACAATTTTTCCATATCCTAAAAAAAAATCAAGGTTTCTAGTAAAAATAATATATTTATTTTTCCATATCCACACTTTTTAATTTCTTTGGATTTTCTCTCAGTGCCCTCTGTAAATTCATTTCAATCAGTAAGCTTAAATTTAGTATTTACTCTGACCAGTTGCTGAAGACTCAGACATTAATAAGAAGCACCCCCACCCCACCAAGAAGTTCAGAGCCTCTCTCCAACTGTTTCAATTAAGGGGACTGTCTTAGTTACTTTTCTCATTGTGAAACAAAATACCCAACACCCAGAGTTAAAGGAAGAAAGGTTTATTTTAGCTCAGTTTGTAGAGGTTTCAGTCCATAATCAGTTGGCTCCAAGGCAGGGCAGCATGGCAGAGGGGCATCGCAGAGGAAAAGCAATCTATGGCAGACCAGGCAGGAAGCAGCAAGCAGCGAGCCTTCTGGACTTTTATCCCATTCAAGCTACAAGCATATTGAATGGTGTCACCCAAACCCAAGATGGGCCTTCCATTATTCACACCCAGCACGATGCTAAACCCATTTAGTTATCACACATCCTTAATCCATATTCCACACCCTAGATAAATGGTGGTGAACCTTTTAGAGAAGTGCCCAAGCTGCAACCCAAAACCCACTTATTTATCACAAAGTGCCAACACTGCAATTAAATCTGAACACTGAGGTTTTAGTGTTGGAAAAACAACTCATATGAACATCTTCTGTCTTAAAAACACAA